CAACAAAAGACAAGTGAGTAATACTATACACAACATAATTATAGGGAGCGTAATAAACAGTAGCAATGACATGGATATTATTTACCTAGTAACCCTTTGAGAGGTGGACCATAGCAGTGTCATTAATCAACAAGGAATAGAGTGAGTGAGTGAGTGAGTGAGTGAGTTGAGTTTAACGGCGCTTTAAACATTATTCCACTTATATCACGGCGTGTCAGCTTAATGTGGGAGGAAAGCCCGAAGTGATGCAGGTCTCAGACGTTTACCACTTCGGTGAAACCCACGAGCACGGGTATGGTGCTGACAAACCTAGAAACATATTCGGGGTGAACCGGGATTCGAACCCACAATCATAGGTTTCTGGCTTGTCCAGGGTACGCATCTCTGCACAGCGAATCGCGGCGCCTTAGACGACTGGGCCCCCCGTGCCCCCAACAAGGAATCCCGAATAAGAAACAGTGGAAGTCCAGGCAAGTGTATATTCTGCTCATTTGATTCACGACACGGTATAAAGTATTTTTTATGCAAGGTGAACCCTCATGACAGAAACAGTTATTCAGATCGACATTTAGACCATCGTGGGTCTGACATTTCTTCAATGGGTACTGCCAATTATAGTGCCGTGCTTGGGATTTCTTACTTGTCTGGCTGATCTCTGTAACTGACCATTAAATTGCAAGCAACAGCTGGTCAAAGCAGGTCCCTCTATTCCCGATGTCCTCAAGGTCCCCTATAGAGGCCCTTGTGGTCATAACGTTGTCCAAAATAAAGTCCGTCTCTATAACAACGTTTTCTAAAAGCCACAATACGATAAGTGATTTGCCCGGGGCGTTACTGTATTCATTATATAATGACACACAACCCAAGTACTGCCACTTAGTGCCAGCTCATATGCCTTGAAAAATACATTTTTCCCTGTCAATCGAAGCGTAATTTACAGATCTTCCTTTGTCAGAAATAAGCAAGACATAGCCAGAGACAAATGAAGGTATGATAATACTGTCATATTTCCTGGCAAATAACATGTTGTTGTCTTGCACAAATGTTAAGTGTTGGGGGTAATTGTTAAAGATGGGGACTTTAACCCATATGCATATTTTTTACCATTATCAAGGAACATAACTGTGTGTTTTGCTTAAACATGGTTAAGATCGAGAATGGCATGTTTGCCATCAGTATAATTCTGACATATATAGCATTAATACGGGAAAGTAAAAAGCTATGGTTTACAGGTGATTAGCAACCGATTCCGACATTATTCCTTTCCTGAAGTTTTACGTACGAACATGTTTAGAACTTTTTTTTATGCCACTATAATTGTGTCCTTAAATGTTATATTTAAATACATAACATAACATGATGAATTGCCACTGAATAGAAATGGCTTAATTCTTGAAAAGGGGTGGGATACGCTCACCATTTCGCGAACACCTGGTATCGTCACTTTTTCTTATAGTGATTTATAAACACATGCTTATGATATAGTCGGAATCGTACAATCGACTCTGCTTTTGACAGGTATTCCTTACTTTTATTTAGATGTTTTCTGGGGGGAGGGGGGGGGGGGGGGGGGGGGGGGTGGTGTGGTGGTGGTGGTGGTTAATATGGTGGTTGTTATATTACTATGTGTGAAGAAAGACAAGGATACTGATATGATGATGGCAGTTCGAGGAACATAACTCGGAATTTCGGTTACACAGATCCAAACTATGCACAGAGAGATGCAAAACATCAGATCACATGCCGACATGTCCCCGAAAGGATAGAGTGATCAATTTATTATGGTTTTGTATGATCCGGTCGTTTGCGTGAGTTTCAACAAGTTATTGTTTTAACATTTTAGGAACAGTGAAATGATCTCAGTAGCATCGATAACTTAACCCTATGAACACGTAAACTAATCATGCCAACTTTATACAGAATGGCCCAATAGGGGATTAGATAGTTCATGCCGTTCGCGTCAGTTTCAGCAAGTCAAAAGAGCTTTTATTTTTTAAAGCAGTGACATGACCTCGCTGCCACAGATAACTTAACCCTAGGGACTTACAAAGTACACACGCAAACAATGTATAATTACAACATGGTCCAACAGAGTATTAGATCATGACTTTATGAGAACATGTTAACCGTTACAAGAGTGGTGAAATTAACGTGACTATTGAGACAAGGTTGAATGCCTCTGCTAATGATTGAATACTTCTACCTCATGGTTATTGACCCTTCAGATATTCCACATTTGGGTTACAGGACAACCACAATGACATAAGTAATGAGACGACTACTATGTTGGATGAAATGTAAATGGTCGTGCTTATGCGAGTATGACGCGCAGGACACTGTGATTTGAATATTTATCTGTTTGCAATCTCTAAAACAGTTCATATTGTTTATTTTTTATTTTTCAAATTAGGTATACATTCTGTTCATCTTTATCCTGAAAAAAAATGTATAATTCGTATATTAACAGCAGGCAAGTTGACATATAATCGCGGAGTTGTATCTGACGTCACATGGTTTAACAGTGACGTCACGAGATTTCATAACTGTGTTTTCCTGTCACATTTATCCAGTATCTTATATGAAACAGCATATATTCGGGAACGAAGATGACATTTTGAACTCTCTTTAATATACCTGTACTTTGGAATAGAACATAAACTACATGGTGAAGGTTGAGATCATGATATATTATTCATCACTGCAAGAGCGTTCCAGGCGTCCTTATTATCTAAACGCTGCGCGACTATATTTTTCTCCCAGTGCTGTATAGGGTTTACATATGAAAGCCGCTTCACGGTCGCTCCATTGTCATGGAACAAACGTTTTCCCATGAGAAAATGAAACCATGGTTACTTCGTCATATTCCCGCATATACAGGTCGGGGTAGGGCGTTCATTTAATGAAGATCAATCAAAATTGGCTTCAACTTTAATATTTTATGTTGCATCCATAGATAGATAGTTACATAGTATATGCATAGGTCAGAAGCTTGTAACAGGAAGCGTAATGATTTTGTATTTGTTGCTCTCGTACAAACACATCATACAATTTAAATTGTAACTGTTGCTGTAGATGATTTGTGTGGACATAGCTGCTGTTATATTTGTAATAGTATTGGTACGTCGTATTTTGTTGATTGTGTTTCCATAAGAATCCAAACCATAACATTACATGCAAAAGCCGCGGGATTACCCTTTCAGCAAACACCTGGTGTCATCACTGATTTTCAGTGATTCATTCATATAATTTTGACCATTCTATGGAATGTATTCCGGCGGATAATCGAGACTGATTATCCTCAGGCGTTGACGTTGTATAATTTAAGATAGGAATGATCAGATGTTTTAGAAAATGACAGAATTCCATGTACTTTACACACACATGCACTATTACAACAGATTTAGGGAAAGATAGTGCACAGACATGTGTTTCTCTGAATTAGCAGTTGTTACTATATCGGGGAATGAATGACTTTCTATATTGGCGTGGTGAATGAGTCGTGAAATTAAACTGCCGATGAAATTGAAACGTCTCTCTGGTGCTCAGTTCACATCTGGTTTCCATGCCTGGAAAGATGATAATTTCATAGTCATCTATTTCCCAGAACAATTTACATACGGCCATCATTCTCGATCATACGTGCGTCAAATGTAGCAAGAACGTGGAAGAAGAAACCGAGCGCCTTTTGGATCACGTTTTTAACATTATACATCACATTGTGTCTTTTTGTGTGTCTTTGCAAATCACATTTGACATTTGTAAACATATTTTGAATAATATTATACAAAAATACAATCTAAGCGCCACCTATATACAGCTCCAATCTCTCGTGTATATTACAACGTATGCGTTTCTGCTTCATATTTAATAGGTTCGGAAAGTTTGGCTTATATAGCACAGTTACCATGGCAATAGGCATGGTATTATCAGGTTCTGGCATTTCATCTGAGTGTAAGTAGGTAGAAACCTTTTCATCTGATCGTGTCAGGCTTTATCATACGTTACTACAACTGACCACGTCTCGCAATACTAGCGCCGGCCTTACAGTGATGCCTGAAAGCTATAGTTCTATTAAATGTCTTTAAAGGATTATTTTATCTTAAACGTGTAAATTACATAGAGCATTGGGTTACTTTTGGCATAAAACATGGATAATAAATTCTTGGTTTGAAATAATCTAAGATTAACAAAAGAAATAAAATGTAATTATCCTTCTTGTATGCTTGGTGTTTACCATTAAGTTGTGCAACATCATTTCCATAATGCATTTCAAAGCCATTATGAGCTGCGTGAATATGTAACATTTGCAGATAAAGTAGAGCAGAGATACCGTCTATGTATTCAATCTCTCAAGGGACCTGCTAGCATACATGTACATGGAGTAGATTGGAGTCTGAGGTTTTGAATTACACGTCAATGCGGCATCTTGTAGCTACAATAGCAGGGATGAGTCGACTGTGAAAAGCACACAAACTGAACTGGTTAGAAAGCAGTCTTTAAATTGTGAATACCACCTGGTATCAAAGCGGAATGTCTAGTTCCGGCAGGATTGAAAGGGCACATGTGTGTGCTCAAACACCATACTAAACATTAACATGGTTATGCACACATAAAACAACATGTTGCATGTACACTTAATGTCCTATTCTATACGTTGCACAGTTAATAATCATCTTCACAAATGAGCAACACGATTTGGTCAAAATATCATGTTGTATCACCAATGGGTGTTGGCCAGTTGTGGGACCGTTGTGTCTTGTCAACCGTTAAGTTAGAGTTTGATGAATATTATCTGATTCTAAACCACAAGATGGCATATTTTATGACATTAGCAGTTGTGTTATTCACACAGTTAACAATCACTTTATCGTAATTAAATTGGGTAAACTGTGAACGCTCCCAGTATCAGCTGTCCAAATCTCGCAAACTTTTTTATTCACTTTGAAAGTTTTAGACTTCAGGTCGCCAAGTTCCCTAACCATTACATCGTCTTGACTTACCTCTGAAAGGACATTTTCGCCAAATGGGCCGCATCCTTTGGGGGTTGTAGGACCTTTCCTTTCAGGTTTTCAAAATTTCCGAAGGGCATCTTGGTCTTTTTTGGTTCTAAAGGAACCAGACCAATCTGTTCCACTCCGTTGGAAGTAATATTTTCTCCAATTTTGCCACACCTCACATTAAGTTCCTCAGAAAGACTTGTCTTTCGCTTCCTCCACACCTGTGGCCGTAGCAAACACCTAGGGTAAAGTGATCAAAAAGTCGCTGCCACTACGAACAAGCGCATTCGCCATACACGTATTTGAGCAGACGATCTACCTGCCGGAGCCGACGACCAATCAGAATGAAGATTGACTTTTGAATAATTTAGTCGGATGTGGGTTCTCCTGCTAAGCAAGGAATGTCGTCATACCAGCACGCCAAACCGTGGGCTCGCTGGCATTGTTAATTCCACATCGGCATGAAAGCTCCTACCGTTCCCAAGAGCCCATTAGTAAATTGAATTTTCCGCGGACAATGCAGACGAGCCGAGAGTGTGATGGAATGGCGGGCCGGTTCCCTCAGATCGGACTTTTATGTCAATGGTGCTGATCTTGAACGGACGAGATCGCTTGTTGTACAATGAGAAATGTACAATAACTAATCGATATGAGGCTGAACTCGGTTGAGTGACTTTGACAGTTGAACACTGTTTGAGCCAAGTGTACATACGGCAATTCCGACTGCAGTCATTATTATCACAGACCTCTATATATAAACATTGTCAGGCAAAGGTGTTCCCTTCCAGGCAAGAATTATCGACTAACTTTTTTTGTCGGTGACAAAACACGACAATGCAGTTTCGCTGAGGCTGCAGTGCTTTTAGCTCAGGAGTGGCAGGATTTAAAGTGACAATTCTCATTTTCCTTGTCGATTGCGATCAATTTGTAGCTAAAGCAAAGAGTCAATGAAACTTTACGTGGTCTTCTTGCAGCCAATATCATGGCCCCTGGCAAGATCTATTTAGATTCTTTATATGTTTTGAAAGCTAGTCTACTAAACTAAGTACTCTTCCACTAGCTCGTTTAGTTCTTAACAATGGACGTTGGCATCCGTTCGTTTGGTAATGGTTATTACAGAGAAGCTGTTCAATCAAATATGCAAGGGAATGTTCTTGCTGTCCTAAAATGAGCAATTGAATTGTAGTAGTAGTTAAGGAAATGAGCTGATCATATACAGGATAAAGGCTTGATTCAAGAACTTTTAGGATCTATCAGTAAAGGACATGGAGGTTTTCAAAGATGACTCAACATTCGAAACATTTGGACAGAGAATCAAATGTTAAGATATAAAACAATACAGACTAATGTCAAATAGTATTGATATTAATTTTAATGCAGGCGGTTTCATCCATTGTTTGGTTGATGTATGTTGTTTGTCAATCCAGTGATTGACATTATGAGCATCGATCCACGCAATTGGGATACGATGACATGTATCAACCAAGTCAGTGAACACCCGATCCCGTTAGTCGCCTCTTACGACAAGCATAGTCGCCTCTTACGGCAAGCATGGGTTGCTGAAGACCTATTCTACCCCGGATCTTTACGGGTCTGGTTGATGTATGTCATAAAGGGGAGTAAAAAGAGGAAACACATTTTAAACCTTGAACCCATATATATGTTGTAAAACAGCAAGGACACCCGAATATGAATATGAAAACTGTAAGGTTACACTGAATTGGTTTATCAAGACGGATTTCACCGACGGGGCATGATATGGTCGCTGTTTCTCGAACGCCTGGTAATTGATAGTGATCTGAACACACTTGTTTATGATAAAGTAGGAATCGGACAACGGTCTCTGCTTTAAGGAGCGATTTGTTTATGATTATGGAAATGGTTTTGTTCTGTTTAAAGAAAACGGCAAATGAGGTCAGTTCGGGAATAGGATTTCCATAAGTTGTTAATATTTGAACAGCTGGCATAGAGATCGTGTTGTAGAATGCCTATATTCTTCAGTAGGCACCCCCCGTGGGCATCAAATGCCTTCTTGCTGATGTCTTTCTTTATGTATACGAGTCAGAAGGATTACTTCAAGTTCCAATGGTGAGTGAGTTGGGTTTAATGCCGCTTTTAACAGTATTCCAGTTATATCACGGCGTGTCAGCTTAATGTTGGAGGAAAGCCCGAAGTGATGAAGGTCTCAGACGTTTACCACTTCGTTGAAACCCACGAACACGGGTATGGTGCTGACAAACCTATAAACATAATCGGGGCGAGCCGGGATTTGAACCCACAATCATAGGTTTCTGGCGTGCCCAAGGGACGCAACTCTGCACAGCGAATCGCGGCGCGTGAGACGACTGGGCCACCCGTGCCCCCTCAAGTTCCAATACACAACTTTCCCTTTATGTCGAGCAATATTGCAGCAGCTCAAGTTGATTGTCTCCTGTTGATAGTCGCCTTTTGGCTTACACGGCTAAGCTTAGTGCGCGAACCAGTAATGGAACAAGTTCGTTTCAATTCAAATCTCTGAGACAGTCCCAAGTAAAAATTTCACAACTTTTGAGGTGCAACACAGAATGCTCCTCCTGTGAATATATTAAAGAGCGTCATACGATATTTGCTCAAGACTTGTTAGATCAGGGTCATTCAAGGTCTTAGCAAAGATTTAAAATCGTTGGTAGATATTAGGAGGACATTTCCATACTTGACTCATCTATGACAAAAGTATGTTTAATGCAATTCTCTTTTTTGACTTTATGTTACCGTGTTTGATCACGTGAACAATTGACTTGCCTTTGTGTGCTTTCCTGCTGAATGTCACCAGTTGGACAGGATACACGTACCTTTTCGCTAACACATGGTATTATCACTATTTGTTTAGACCGGTAAAGATCCGGGAGGGAATAGGTCTTCAGCAACCCATGCTTGCCGTAAAAAGCGAATATGCTTGTCGTAAGAGGCGACAAACGGGATCGGGTGGTCAGGCTCGCTGACTTGGTTGGTGCATGTCATCGTATCCCGATTGCGTGGATAGATGCTCACGATGTCAGTCACTGGATTGTCTGGTCAAGACAGATTATTTACAGACCGCCGTCATATAGCTCGAATATTGCTGAGTTCGGCGTTAAACAACAAACAAACAAAACACAATTTGTTTGTGATTCATACATATGTGTTTATGATTTGGTGGGTTTCGTGCAACGGATTCTGCTGTCAGCAGACATAGCCTCTTTTCCCTTCCATCATGGAACGTCATTTAACAGAACGGAGTATCGAAATAGTTGTACAACATGAAAAGTGTCAATATAGATCAAGGCATACTTTCAATCTATCACAGGAAACCGGACACATATTGACAGATGCTCAATGTAGAAGACGCCGTGATTTATATTACGCAGAAAGACATTTGTCCCTGGAACACATATGCACATTAAGTAATGATGACACAGATTTTGAAAGGCATAGTAAGTATTTGTTGAACATTTACATATCCAGAATGCACGTACTATATTACATATCCAGAATGCAGTTGCAACACTTTGTTCGGTACACTGCATGTATGTATGTATGTATGTATGTATGTATGTATGTATGTATGTATGTATGTATGTATGTATGTATGTATGTATGTATGTATGTATGTATGTATGAGGGGGGGGGGGTCTTATGCGTGTTTTTAATCGACATTCTAGCGTGTTTTTAATCTATAAAGTTTATGATTTCCCCCCTGAAATAACTGTTACTGTGGATGTTACAATTATACCATTGGGACTGAAGTACATCTGAGTATATACATTACACATTATTCATGGATAATGATTTAAACTCAGATCATGTCATGTTATTAACTATGATCAAAAGTGGTTTACAACCTGTATTAACATTTCCAATTAAAGTTAGAGGCATCTTATTTCAAAGCAGGATATCGCTTTGCAGATTACAAAATAGAGATGGGTGTTGGGTGAAATCGGGGCGGCTGAGTAGTCTAGTGAATAAAGCGCTCGGTCGTCTCGCTCGAAGGCCCTGGTTCGATTCCAACTTGGGTACAATGAGTGAGTGAATGAGTGAGTTGGGTTTTACGCCGCTTTTAACAGTATGCCAGTCATATCGCGGCGTGTCAGCTTAATGTGGGAGGAAAGCCCCAAGTGATGCAGGTCTCAGACGTTTACCATTTCGGTGAAACCCACGAGCACGGATACGTTGCTGACAAACCTAGAAACATAATCGGGGCGAACCGGGATTTGAACCCACAATCATAGGTTTCTGGCGAACCCAAGGGACGCAACTTTGCACAGCGAATCGCGGCGCCTTAGGCGACTGGGGCCACCCGTACCCATTTTGGGTACAATGAATGAAGCTATTTTTTGTGTCTTCCGTTGTGAGTGAGTGAGTGAGTATGGTTTTACGCCGCTTTTAGCAATATTCCAGCAATATCACGGCGGGGGACACCAGAAATGGGCTTCACACATTGTACCCATGTCGGGAATCGAACCCGGGTCTTCGGCGTGACGAGCGAACGCTTTAACCACTGGGCTACCCGACCGCCCCTTCTTCCGTTGTGATAAGGCATGTATATTGCTAAAACCGCACTCACTGTCACTCACTTCATGCTTCAGCGTGGGAGATACTGCTTACATCGTGCATTGTCCAGTATGTCATTTGATGAAGTTGTCATACACGAACATCGATCCATCTGTGACACAACTCTAAGGATAAGTACTTTAAAAACAATTGATAAGCAATATTAAATTCTAATAATATTAGAGATACATATTAGGTAGAGAGCACTGGTCATCCAATGTGGCGTATCCCAGCAGCACGGGTATGGGGCAGACACCACTGGTCATGGTCAGGATGAATCTGATCATAGGGTCATGGTAAAGGGACGCAAACATACATGCCATATTACGGCGTCTTTGACGACTACCCGTGCACATGAAACTGTGTTTACGTGAGTGAAAAAGTCTTAATGGAAATACAAAGTCGATAGTCACGATGTCTGGAAAGGGACATGCTGACGGTATCAGCCTTTGCTGGATGACGCCATAGCATAATATATTACTATCATATGTTAGCAGTCACTGATGATGATATGAATGAGTGGTCAATGAACATCAATATTCCAGCTATATCACAGCGGCCAGTAAATATTCGAGTATTGACGACTCCAACCAGTGACTGAAAGTATGAGCACGATGCAAGCCATCGGTGCATGGTGACACGCTATCAGCCACGTCAATGAGACTGACAATTATGTCGGCTCGTACGACACGCGAGAGATACTGGCAACATTTCTTTCGCAGATTCCTGTAGGAGTGTGGTCAGTAGCGGATGGTGCATGTCATTTA